GAAACCTTCCCTCCTCCGGGGATGACGTGGACCTATATTTTAATCCCTATAGAAATCAGTGCAACTTTTCTACCATTCAAAAAAAGATAGGACTACTGTTTTTCTACATTTTGTTCCTCTGGTTTCCTGAGCAACACTAGGTAACTCCAGCTAGTTGTAAATATAAAAGGATTCCTATAGTATTTTTGCAATTGTGCACACTGAAGTTATCAACCATACACTCGTTTTAATAATACTGGCCTGATCTTGGGACAAGAACCCATCAATCCTCAAAGCGATAACTGGAAATTCTTAAGCAATCACACAATCCAAGAAAGGGAGCTACACGAGGCGGCGGCTCAGTGTCAAACTCCACTCCATGAACAGCTGCCACAGCAAAAGCTAACCACTGCCCCTGCTCCCTCCTGCTTATCAGTTAATCGTGTAGTCGTCTACACACCAACATCCGTACCCCTTGCTCTGCCTCTTGGGCAGCCACAGACTGGAGCTGAGGACTGGCAGGGGCAGCAGGTTCCTGGCTGCAGACACAGCTCAGAGCCACCCAAGGGCGCCATTTAGGGGAGGCTCAGGGGACAACAGCCCTGCCCCCTTCAACTGGATTTGATACTTGAGGTCTGCTTAAAGCTGCATCCCCTGGCTCCCAGGTCTTATGCAACAGTTTGAGCTGCTTGCAGCTTTGTCTTTGGGGCAGGGAGTTTGTTATAAAAAGAGGTAGGCAGGTGATTAAGAATAACAAAGGACTGGTCATTCAAGTAATTTCCAGGTACTTAAACAATAAGGGGGAGGGGAAGAAGTGTAGCAATGAGTGTTGTGCTGCTGGGATTTGAATTTGGAGCAGTACCCTTAAATTGAAACAAAATACAGGACTATGTAGCACTTTAAAGACTAACAAGATGGTTTACCATCTTGTTAGTCTTTAAAGTGCTACATAGTCCTGTATTTTGTTTCAGCTACACCAGACTAACACGGCTACATCTCTATCACTATCTTAAATTTATAAATGTTCTTGAAAAGGGAGTTAACAGTGAGGTGGCAAAATTTGCAGATGCTACAAAGTCACTCAAAATAGTTAAGTCCAAAGCTCACTGCAGAGAGTTACAAAGGGATCTCACAAAACTAGGTAACTGGGCAACACAAGGGCAGATAGAATTCAGTGTTGATAAATGCAAAGTAATGCACATGGAAAAATATAATCCCAACTATACGTACAAAAATGACAGGGTCTAAATTAGCTGTTACCACTGAAGAAAGCGATCCTGGAATCATTGTGGATAGTTCTCTGAAAACATCTGCTCATTGTGCAGTGGCAGTCTAAAAACTAAAAAACTAACAGAACATTGGGAATCATTAGGAAGGGAATAGATTATGAGACAGAAAACAGAATATTGCCTATATATGAGTCATGGTATGCCCACATCTTATATACTGTGTGCATGTTTGACCATCTAAAAAAAAAGATATATTGTATTTGGAAAAGGTACAGAAAGGGCAACAAAAATGACTGGGGAATAGCTTCCATATGAGGAGAGATTAATGAGACTGTGACTTTTCAGCTTGGAAAAGAAATGACTAAAAATGGAGGAGAATGTCAGAGGTCTAGAAAATCATCAATGGCGTGGAAAAAACAGAATAAAGAAATGTTATTTACTCCTTCAGTAACATAACACAAGAAGGTTCAGCGGGGTAACTGAGTTAGTCTGAAACTGGAAAAACTTAAACAACTAATAGTCTAACAGCACCTTAAAAACTCATTCAAATTAAATGTATAAGCAGCAGCTTCAAAACAAATTATTTCTCCACAATTAATTTGTGGAACTCTTTGTCAGGAGATGGTGGAAAGGCCCAAATTATAACAGGGTTCCAACAGGAACAAAGTAAGCTCAAGGAGGATAGGTCCATCAATGGCTACTAGCCAGAATGGGTAGGGATGGTGTCTCTAGCCTCTGTTTGCCAGAAGGTAGGAATGGACAATCATTTGGTGAATGCCTCTTTTCATGCCTTCTGAAGGACCTGGCATAGCCTGTCTTCCAACAGTGGTCAATTGGGCTAGATGGATCATTGATCTGACCAAGTATGGCCATTTTGAGCGGGCTAGATGGATCATTGATCTGACCCAGTATGGCCATTCTGAGTTTATATGGAGCCCAAATTTATCTGCCCTCTGCTGTAACCCACTAGACTCCACTCCCCTTTCAGAACTGAGATAGAGCCCAGGAGTCCTGAGAATCAGAGAGAGAAACTACCTCTGCAGTTAGTAACAAAGTAAGAGGATATATTAACATTTTAAGGCTAAGCAGTGTCCATTAGGTGACTTGCCACAAGACATCAGGTCAGAATGTTAATATCAGAGATGAGGGGGTCAAATACTTATTTAAATTTTCTTTCTTCTATATAGGAGTTGGATACAGTGCTCCTGCCAGCTAATTGCTAAGTTTTCTGCCAAAAAAAAAAAACTCTGGAGTTTTCCAGTGCCTTGGTAGCTGGAGAAAGAGGTGATATGGGGAAGGGGGAAGAGAATCCTCTCCCACCCCCCAATTTGCTGCTTAGCTTTGTACTAAGCATGCTCAGTAACAATGCTGAAGCCCCTGTCCGCAGTCTGCCCCCTCCCTGCGCTCACTCCCCCCCAGTCAGGGCATGCATAGGTCTCCCCCCAAACACCAAAATCTGAAATGGCGCCCCTCTGGAGAAAGAGGTGATATGGGGAAGGGGGAAGAGAATCCTCTCCCACCCCCCAATTTGCTGCTTAGCTTTGTACTAAGCATGCTCAGTAACAATGCTGAAGCCCCTGTCCGCAGTCTGCCCCCTCCCTGCGCTCACTCCCCCCCAGTCAGGGCATGCATAGGTCTCCCCCCAAACACCAAAATCTGAAATGGCGCCCCTGGAGCCTCCCCCAGGGGCGATAACACTCAGGGGCAGGTTCCGGGGCGACGAGATCCGGGCCCCCTGGTGCCCCGCAGCTCCCCCAGGCCGCTGTGAGTTACCTGCGGGCTCCGGCCGGGGCTGGTCCCAGCCGC